TTTTATGCTTTAATATATTATGATTTTTCCAAACATTCTTCAGAGTTCAGAAATATATATTCAGTATAATATCTTATCAGAAAAAAAAGTTCAATCATGATGTAGCTTTACAACTTGAATATAAAACTGTTTTGTTACAATTTTTAGCTCGACTTTTTGATAAGAATAAGTAGAGCTATTGTAGTCACCCGAGCGTCGGCGTTGGTGTCCGCGTCGGCGTAATTAACCACTTACGTTAAAGTTTTTGTAATACCTCAAATATTTTCAAAGTCCATTGACATATGGCTTTGAAACTTTGCACACTTGTTAACCATCATGACCCCAACATGTAGACAGGAGGAGGTAACTGTATCAAGCATTTTGACAGAATTATGCCCCTTTTTCGACTTAGAATTTATGTAAAAGTTTTTGTAATACCTCAAATATTTTCAAAGTCCATTGACATATGGCTTTGAAATTTTGCACACTTGTTCACCATCATGACCCCAACCTGAAGACAGGAGGAGGTAACTGTATCAAGCATTTTGACAGAATTATGCCCCTTTTTCGACTTAGAATTTACATTTAAGTTTGCATACCACCTCAGATATTGCTTTGAAACAAGTTGAAATTTTATACTCTTCTTTGAGAGCATAATAGGACTCTCTTCAAGACTCTCTTCCCTTTAACTGTAACATGGTTTTAAAGAAAAAAATTTGCCTTTTTGTTAACTTAAAATTTTTTTACATTATCAAGGTTTTTTTACTGTTAAGCACTAGCACTGACAGCTCTTGTTTGTTATCATGAGGATATTTAATATGAAACATGTTTTGAAAAAGATCATGAATTCAAAGTCTGTTTCCTTCTTTAAAGATTATTTTAATTTTTGACACATAAAATGTTATAAATTGCCCTGGCTTAATTTGCTGTGGTCTTGTTGTAACTGTCAGGTTTAATGTGATGAAGATTATGTCCTGCTTATATTTCTTACAGTTCGCCAAAGTTTCTCTGCCAATGAAATCGCTCTATTTTGTTTAAATTTTGCCGAAATATTTACCATACAGTGCTGTAACTCAACTCTATGTTTTAAATTTATTTGTTAAATATGACGATTTAATGGACTCCTCCTATTTACATAATGCGTATGCGTGCTCATTATTTTGTTACTCCTCATTAAACAAGACTAGTGCTTGATGGAAAAGGTGTTTTTTATTATAACTTTGCGATTTTAACGTTCTTTTATGGAGAGTTGGGAGGGACTTTGGTTAGAAGGAATTATAAACATTACCTTTCAGTTTTAATTTTAATATACAATGAATCCACAAAAATATGTTTAGATCCAAAACTTAAAAACAAAACTCATACAGAAACAGACTGAAGTATCAGTAAAAGTACACCCGATTTTTACATATGTCCATACCAAATCTTTCATAATAAATGGCAGTGTTTCTTACCATGACAGAAATACATGTACCGTATTATAATAATCACTTGCAGCAAAAACAGAGAGTGAACAATATCAATACTGCACATGCTGCCATATTATATTTTAATTAATATTTATATTAATAATAAAATTTAATATGAATTAAGACAAAAATAGTTATAATTAGTAATGTGGCAGAGTTTCAATTAAGGAATCATTTTTAGATCACAAGGGAGTTAGCACTACAACATACCTTCTTGCTAGGGCTGTGCATTGCCATTTTTTTCTGTCATGATACATATCACAATACTGCCCGGGTGTAGATTTTCCAGCGTAAGCCTGGAAGAGAGGCTGGTAAACCCTGGAAAACTATGGAAAAGCATGGAATTTCATGGAAATTCATGGAGAATTGGTATTTTTTCCATGCTATATGGACTTTTTTGTCCAGCCATTTCCAGCATTGCTGGAATAGGCTGGAAATTAGCTGGACATTTGTGGTAAAAGCCTGGAAAACCATGGACTTTACTTCCATGTAGCATGGAAAGTGGAACTTAGATTTTTTTTGATGCTGGAAATGTCTTAAACTTTCTCTAAGTATGCTGGAAAAAACATGTAAAAATTACAACAAGAAATCTTACTTTATATATTCAGCTCAATATTGTAAATTTACAAAGAAAATATAAAATCATCATTTATTTTAATACAAGTTATTGTAAATGATTTGAAATTTCACACTTTATACATTTCATGTAGTTGGAAAAGGGTATCTCAGAAAAAATGTCTATGCTTAAGACGTAAATGAATTGATTGTTAAATACATATTATTAATTAAATAAATCTACATGAAGTTTATGTACAATGAAATAATATCCATTTGATTACAGGCTTTAAGTTTAACTATAAATTAATTAAAGTCTGTGATTCAATCATTCAGACACTATAATAATCAAGATGGGATTGCATTGCTTGCAATCTAAGAATTCATGTTTTTTTGATAACAATAAATAAATAAATAAACAAAACAAAAACAGTGCAATATATATTGCTTTTATTTTGGAAAGTAAATACTACATCCACTGAGATTTTACGCTACACAGATCAGAGCTCTGATAAAACTCATTGACCAGCATTTTCCCAACATCTGTGCATGACTAATTTACTCCACTGGTCATTCCGACTGATCAGGCTGTTCCATGTAATTATTTTGGGGAGAGATAACATTATAAATTTCATATGCAGAATGTGTCTAGAAGGACATTGCAATCTTTTTTTGTACAAAAATATGTAATGATCTTTAAAATCTATATATCTATATTAGCTATTTGATATTTTCTTTTACACTCTAAGAATAAAAGTTAAAGGCCTCAACAGACGATAGGATTTTGAAGTACAACACCAATTAAAACTAAGATGTACAGACAAATCTTAATGTGTGAAGGCTACTATTTCTTGATTTCGGAAACCTTATGTCAAGATGTAAGGGATAGGACATGTTCTATTTTGAAAATCTTGTCGTACAGATTTTTACAGACCTCCCACAATGACAAGTAACAGATAACCAAATTATCTCCTGATAATGGGTTTAATGAATGAAATTCCAGAACAATTAGGGCTAAAAGGTAAACATAGTAGTAAGATGGGGTAAAAATGATGTTGAAAAACTCTTCAGGAGACCCAAAGTTGTGTTATGTTCGAATCCCAAATCCCGAAAATGATTATGTCACGGTATTGAATTGTTCTCTAATTATGGGAGGGGAGGTAGTTAATGTAGGCGGCCAGATAGTTTATTCTGTAGAGCCGCAGTACGGTATTCCGAGGGTCCCAGGTTTGAGTCTCGGTCAGGCTTCACATTAAAAAAAAAATATATATATATTTTTTAATGGAGGTGTTTCAATCATTACTCATGGCGAAAAAAGTATTTAGTGAGTAAAGTATGTAAAGGATCAATATAAAGGGATCCTTTGCTAATCATTTAAACGTCTTGTCTGGAAATATGACCAATGTAATTTTGACAATATGAGGCGTGATGCAGCTGCATATAACTGGGATTCTCTAGAAAATAATGATATTGATACCTATGCAAACAATATAACACAGACAATTATATCATTATCAAAGAAACACATCCCAAACAAAACAGTAACAATTAGACAATCAGATCCTCCATGGATGCATAACGAAATAAGAAAATGTATAAGAAAAAGGAAAAGAGCGTATGATAAAGCTAAAAAATCAAATAATGAAGAACACTGGAATAAATATAAAACATTAAGAAACAAAACAACTCACTTACTTAGAAATGCTAAATCTGAACATATCAAAAAACTGTCGGAAAAATTAAGAAATCAAAATCTAAACACATCAGATTACTGGAAAATCCTCAAACAATTTATTAGGCCAGCAGTAAATAGTAATGTTAAAATATTAAATGACAATGGCAACTTGTTGACATCTGACACTGAAAAGGCAAACTTACTAAATATTTTTTTTCCAATTGCAATCCTCACTTGATGATAAGAATAAACCTGTCCCTAACTCTGATATTAATCATAATAATAATAACAATAATCATCTTGATATAATACATATTACATATGAAGAGGTTCAGGACACTCTAAAAACACTAAGTGTAGGTAAAGCATCAGGGCCTGATAATATTAATAACAGAATTCTCAAGGAACTGTCAGGAGAACTTGCTGTACCTCTATGTCGTCTATTTAATAAATCAATTATAACTTCAAAAGTCCCGTCACAATGGAAGCTTGCCAATGTCTGTGCAGTATATAAGAAAGGAGACCCAACAATTGTTTCTAACTATAGACCAATATCACTCCTCAGCACAGTTAGTAAAAAATTAGAAAAAATTATACACAAACACATTTTCAACTTCATTGTCTCAAATAACACAATAACTGCATTGCAATCTGGTTTTGTTCCAAACGACTCTACGACTAACCAACTTGTCTCTATATATAACACATTTTGTAAAGCCCTTGATGATGGCAAAGAAGTAAGAGCTGTGTTCTGTGATATATCCAAAGCTTTTGATCGTGTTGGTTTTGTCGTGACACGGCTCATTTGAAAACAGACGACGAGATAAGCTGCTTCGATATTTGTTTGTTACGGACCCTCTTTACTAAAATACATTTGTGTTATAATATATACATGTATAATATGTAAAGTGTTTTCTTGTGTTTAATCTTTTTTGGTCTACAAAATAATTTTCTCTAAAAACGCTATGGAGCACAATCATAGTTTTGGCAAAATACATATCACTGTATTTATGATTAGCTTTTCAGATGAAGCAGAAATGCGCCACTTATTCTCCTCTTTGTTAGCTTGTTACGTTTAAAGAAATATCGAGCTTTATTTGATAAAGAAGATATGTTCTACATTGAACAGTTTCTGTTAAGTACCGTTAGCGTTAAAATTCATTTGAAGTCCAATTACAATCAGAGTAGCTATTCTCCTCAATATTAATGGTTGTAACCATTTTCTCTTGAGGTCGTAATGTTATCATTTTGCGATATGAGTCGTTGTGTTTGTGTGGTTAAAGCTGTGAATTTCATTTGTTATAAAATCAAACAAAACACCATTAATTTTAATGCTCAATGTTTATTATAAATAAATTAACATGAATATCCATGAACTTTTTTTTAACCTTTTCCAGTGTCCGTGTCTGTCCGGCCGTTTTGAAAAGTTTCCTAAAATGACAAACAAAAACACGAAATATAAAAACATATAACAAATGTGACCATGAAAGCTCTTATTTAGATGCAGAGTGTTGTAGAATATCTGTCTCACTTCAGTCACTGTGATGTAAAATATTAACACAAACGAAGGCTTTTCATTGACAAGTATAAAATCTAGTATCATTTCCAAGTTAAAGACACATGGCTAAAACAATTAAAATAAACGTTTGTTTTCATCGCCGTTTAAATATACGAATCTCATGCGCTAATGCAGTTGTTGTACGTATTTAGATACTTCTTTTTTATCGTGTTAAAAGGCAATAAATAAAAAAGTAGCTTGTTATTGTTAGCTCGATTATATTACATTTGATATTTAACTTCATTTTAGCATCATCCAAATTATTCGTACTTACCTTTTTATCAATAATCGCTCTGCTTCACTCTGCAATGAAATGAAAAATAAAGCATATAATGTATTATAGTTATTTTTCGTAAGAGTTTAATACTCTTGACCATAAAATCTTTAAAAAAAACTTGATATAAAATGCCATTCATCTAATTCAATCGAACTTTTTAATGACGTAATCATAGTGAAATTTTAAGTAGCAATCTGATAGTTAATTTGTTTAACAAAGTCTAAGAAGGATTCCATTTCCGCATTTTGTTAATATCTGGAAAAAAACGTGATCCTTCGGGAACATTAAAAACAGCAAAATAACATGAAAAATGCAGACTCGGTTTGAATGAGTCTGTACATAAGTGTTAATGAAAAAGTGCAACATCCCTCACGCCCCACCCTGGCACCGGCTTGAGCGGTACTCAGTTTTCAACACTAAAAAGTGCTGGACTCAATGATCCCGATGTACCAGAAAAATATCACAACACTGAAGTGAAGTACGGGGCAACTTTGTACGGCTGTCACACAGCGCATGACACTTGCAGTTGTGATGTATAAATATCTGAAAAAAGGTGATCCTTCGTAAGCATTTAAAACAGCAAAATTACATGAAAATTGCAGACTCGGTTTGATTGAGTTTGTACATGCGAGATAATGAAAAAGTGCAACATCCCTCACGCCCCCATAGAACCGACTTGAGCGGTACTTAATTCCACCAGTAATGAGTAACTTTTGACTTAAGAAAGTAACTATAAAGGTAAGAAATAAAATAGCACACCATTCTGTCCAATGTTCTTGTGGTACAAACTATATTCTAAAAGAAAGTCTGACTTACTTTTGTATCCCATGTTGTTATAGAAATTGCCATAGCCGTCATTGTTGAAATCGTTGTTCATGTAATATCTGTTGTAGTAGTAGTTGTCATTTCCATACCCGTTGTTCATGTAGTTGTTCATGTAGTAACCTCTGTTATAGTAGTAGTCATTATTGTAGTCATTACCATTCCAGTTGTAACCTCTGTTGTAGTAATTACCATTACCGTACCAGTTGTTATAGTAAGGATAATTCATGTTGTAGAAATAGCCATTGCCATTATTGTTGTTGTAATTATCCATGTAGTAACCTCTACTGTAGTAATTATTTCCGTAGTTTCCATTCTGGTAATATCCCCTGTTCCAGTAGTAGTCATTGTTGCCATAACCGTTGTTGTTCATGTAATAATTGCCATTGTAGAAGTTATCACCATAACCATACCCATTATTGTAGTTCATATAATAACCATTGTTATAGAAGTCGTTGTTCATGTAATCGTTTCCAGACCAACTATTGAAACCATTTCCATTCCAATTGTTATCATACCAGCCATTGAAACCATCATTATTCCAGTTGTTTCCATACCAACCATTGAAATCATTACCATTCCAGTTGTTACCACCAAAGAACTCTTCATTATCATTTTCGTTGTACTCCCTTCAACAATTTTGACTTGTGTTATTGTCAATTGAAAGGTATATGCCTTCTTTACCAAATTAGTAAAGTTAAAATAGTTTACAGAATTTTAGTACTATAGAATGTTCTAAGTATATCATAAGTCCTAGGTCATTTAACTGATTAAGTAATACATTAGGACTGTTTCAGTAAACATTTGTATCTTGATTTCTTGATTAAATACATATTAGGCCCTAACGAAATTTGTTCTCGTAAATATAATAGCAAGAGCCTCAGGTCGAAATATTTTTGTTCTCAGACTAAGGACTTTAGATATAAAACGCACCACTTAATGAGTAATTTCACACTAAGCGGGGAATTCACCGTGTATGTTACATTTTGCCCATCAATGTGTAAATGGTGAGAGTTAAAAAACTTTAAGTTAGTCATAATTGTTTTTATTTTGTAATCTACTTCGAAAAAAGTAATCAATAACTCTCGTTTCAATAAATATTCTTTGACTGTATCTGTAATCAATTAATTAAGTTTGACTTGACAAAGAAAGATTTAGTATAATGCTATTTTGAATAGGTAATACTTACATTTGATCGTAAAAGCATCCAAAGAACCACATGTTCTGGTAATTTTGACCATTGGCATAAAATGAAGGGCACCAGTTCATGGCACATCCAACTGAACGACTCCTGTACCAGTCCATCTAAATTATAAAAACACAGAAATTGACTATTCTGATTGACGACTACATTTAAAATTTTAAAAAATTGATAACTTCACGTATCACTTTATAGGTATTAAAAATCAAATTAATAACAAAATGTTTAACTGATAAAACGTCCAAAATGAATATACTGCTAAACTTGCCAATGGACTGAAGTGAAATAATCCTCGCCACCCGGATCGGAGGTTCTGTATAGTTTGGAACACCAATCTTCTCTTTTTAGATAACAGATATTGATATAGTCGAAAATATTTTTCTTGTGAATATATTCATGTGTTATACCTGATAGAAATTTCCCTCATTGTTTTTCCAGTCAAATTGTGACATTCCATTGTACCAATCGTTAAAGGTTCTGCGGATATTGTAATAATGATCACCGCCGCTATAGTATGCATAGTGTTCACCACGGCTGTAATATCCGTTACCCATGTTACATTGTGACATACGTCTGTCTGCCTCCTCTGCTAGAGAACTGTCCCATTCCTACAACATATCAAGCATGTTTCAGAGAAAACTATGTACTATTTGCGTTATTTTATAAACCAGTCTTTAATTTCATTTTCGCTTTATGTTGAAACTATGAAAAACGACATAAAAACATATATAATTAAAGGTAAGAAACAAAACAACATACCATTCTGTCCCATTCTCTTCCGTTGAACCATCCTTGTCTGAAGTTGTTGTGTCTGCCGACAATATACTCCATATATCTTTCAGCACTCTCACATTGTGCCCCAACTACCAGCAATAATACGAGAGAAAACTGCGCCGCCAACATTATTACCCGTTGAGAAATCACCAACAACGTACAGAAGGAATGTCGAGGGTGTCTTTAGAAACATTCATCAGGACAGTCTTATATATACGTATGTTCATATTTCAAAGTGAATACAAAATGCTTTTTTAACATTTATAAGCTTGAACATTGTATAAAAATAACATTATTATGGAAATTTCTAAATGGTAATTAATTCTAATTGAAGCAATATAACATATTACATTTTTTCTGTTTACTAGTTTTCAGCACTACCGAATATAGTATTCTAAGGCTATATTTTGTACATGAAGTCGAATGATTTAAAATTATTTTAAATAAAATGCAGAAACTTCAAACCAAGTATAGTTGATTTAGATAGATACGTTCATTTCAGTATTGTTTAATAACATATCTTCATATGACTTAATTAATAACTAGTATGTTCGAGACAGTAGACTCGAAATGGAACACTACTGTATATAATATTGCAATAATTTCTTTTATAATTGAGCGTAAATGACCTAGTGTCACAATTAAAATGAAATTTATCACTTTAATTAAAATTCAACAATTCTCTAATTACAAAGATGCAGCTATGAGATGCAAACGTTCCAAGTTATGTTGAACTACTTACTACATGTATATCACGCATTCAAACATATCTTATATTGTTGACTTATGTCTTTTGTTAAGAAGTTCTAGAACATATTCTGGTTTATTTCAACATACATTGCTATCTTTTAATTATGTATGATATCGGTATCAGATCTCAAAAGTATTATTTAACCAAACATTTTTCCTTTGTCAGATATTTATTTAGGTGGACATGATAATAATAACAACAACAATAAAACATAATAATATGAAAACATTTATTTAAAGACCCTCATATGATTACTTGTAGTATTCATAAGTTTGAAACAACAAAACAACAAGTTGGTTGATCAATATTTTTGTACTCTTCAAATTTGGAGGAATAAAAGAATCTATCTATCCATCCACTGGGGTATTTTTACATGACGGGACTGGGCATGATTTTTTTAGATAAATGTTCCATTTGTTGTAGGTCTGGTGTACCATTTCCGATCATTCTCTCACTCCGTTTTTCCAGGATGATTAATCGTATCTAAAATTGAAAAGCGTTGCAACGCTCTTCACTCAACTCGGGCTAAAAATTGCACAATAATACGATTTTCAATTAATTCGTACCAGTATGTTTCTTAATTATCCTTTGCATATTTTTCTGTATTCAATTCAATTTTTAAGTGTTTATGTTTTTGGACCTTAGTGCATGGAGTTCCTTTCATGTAACTCTATATTATATAATATCACTATCATAATGCAATGATTTAAACAAAACATTTCTCTTCTCAATATTTCTTGTAGACTTTAATACAATATCCTGATATTCGCTTGATTTTCGAGAAGGCTTCTGTGGTTTAAATTTTTATTAGTGTTTTAACTCTCTTTTCATATCAGACTCATCAAAATTAGTAACATGATGTAGACTAAACAATGTAATTTAAATTGCATATTCCAAATCATGGCAAGCATATATTTATCAAAACAGCATATTCTGCATTTTTGTTTGATAGCTACTTTTCCGTGATGTATTTTAAATTGCAGGCCCTAAGTATATATTAATTGTTGCTGTAAAGTACATGAGAAAAGCTTACTCACATAATTTGCATGTCAATGCAGGACGTGTCAGTAGATTTTGAGCGTTTCTCCATGGAAATAAGATATCAACTGGCGTCGTTGTTGAGTAGTGAACTGCTTTAGTTCAAATGAACAGTAATACAATAACAAAGACTGGTACGCCTTTGAAGACATTAATTACAAAGCACTTGACCGAGAACCATGCTTAGCACTATGTTACAAATTTTAAAAGTAAAAATAATATCTACTTATTTTTTTAATAGAATTTGTCAAATAATGTTGAACTACATTGGTCGAAGTAGTAGTGTTCATAGCGTCATTTGGTCTATCTGTCGAGTAAGCAGTCCTTTTATTATACCATGCAATTCCTTTATTGTGAATATTTCATTCAATTGCCAATATTAGTGTGAAGCGAGTACAATATTTTATGTTTGGAGAGACTCTGCCGCATACATTCAGTATATAGTTTACAAATCAATTTTAATAAATACATTTGACGATCCAAGAAATTCCTATATATAAAAAAGTATATTGACTTTGTGACAAATCAAGCGTCAAAAGAAACGTAAATATATATTAATAATATAATAGTTATCTGGGTGGTAACGACATTTCATACAAATGCAAACAATATGATTATATTTGAGCCGCTGTTCGCTATCAGTTTCTCTATACTTGTTATACGGTTTGTAAGCGAACAGCATGGGTCCTGATCAGACTGCGCGGATGCGCAGGCTGGTCTGGATCCATGCTGGTCGCAAACCCATTATGTTGGTTTTGTCATGTCAGAGCTCATTTCTATTATAATTAGAGTAACCTCAATGTTGTTACCAGATAAAAAAAAGTGTAGCCTATGCAGTTTCATTATCAATGTAAAATGATATTGATCAGGACATAACGGCATTTAAATAAACATTGCAAGGGTAGGGGAAACGGCGGACACATTTTTATAGTAGAGGGTCAGGCCAATTCACACATCTGTTTGGCCTTCGAATTCATACATGTATATAATCTTTATTTTTGATAATAAGAATTAAGAGGTTTCTATGGAGGAGTAACCCGCTCCCTGGAGGAAAATGCCACTTAAAACAATCAATATTTTCATTTCAGCAGCAATTTAATCTTTATATAGTACGAATATTGTAATATAATGTATGCATGTATAATTTTATATAAACATTAACATATATGTGGTAATAGATGACTACTTCCCTATTTACATACATTTTGATATAATACCCTAATATGTATATACCTTCTTAACATAAAATTATACTATAAAATGCTTCTGTTTCGTGTTACATACATACATTTGATTAGTTTGCATTATGTAAATTTTAACCTTATTCTTAATTCGTTCTTGGATCACTTATGAATGTCATCAAAACTATTGCAACATATTACACAAGAATTTCCACTGAACCTACTTGGAAATGTGTATATAATTTGTATATTTATATTCAAGCTCGCCTTATTGTGAGAAATATACATTTGCAATTAATTATACATGGGTGATTTTTACTTGCTTCAATCATATTCAAGCATGCCTTCTTTATTAAGATGAATGTTTTCAGTTGTGTGTAAAACTAAGATGATGCAACATTGCATTGTAAGATATTGTTATTACGTTGTAAGACGTGACACTGCGTGATTTTGACGTTGAAATGTTTCCATGTTAAACATAATAATTCATCATGGTCTCGTAATGTTCTTGTTGACCGGAAGCTGCCTCGGGCTCGCCGTTATCCATGGTGTATTTCTAAAGATAAAATGTAAATGCAGTTAATAAATTTGCTGTATAATTCATGCATAAGCAAATATATTCCAGATAGCGAGCTTATTTTTGTTACACAAAATGATAAATATGTAAGACATCTGATACATGTAAATACAAGTACATGTATGCATTCTATAAAATGTTAAAATGGCAGTAGGAAAGTTTTACATCTGTTTAATGGCATGCTATGGTGCCCATATATTCGTGTGATATGTTCAAGTTTAAGTTTTAATTATCGTTGACATTTTCTTCTTTTTTGTTTTCAGATAAGTTTACAAATATAGAACATTCTGAAATCAGGCAATATAAGATCACTATATTTTCTTATTATTGTTTCCAGTGAGATTATATTACCTCTAGCTCCTCGAATGATGTCGTTCCTTGGTCAATTTTCTGTCCTATACCACTGCTATACGAACTATACCGTTCCTGTAAGTCATAGCAAAGATGACAGAACTGATATAATCTTTATTTAAATTTTAACATTAAAAGATATCAAGATGATTATTATATTCGGTAAGTATTTTTTTCTTAGATTTCAGCGGGTCAATTTCATCATTTGAATATTGTTACATATTTGTTTGAAATGTTATATGACTATAAGGTGCATTTTATGTATGTAAATTTAATTATGTCAGTCTTTATAAATCCAAATTATGGAGTGGCAATAAACATATTTATCATGACTTTATAAGCATATATTGTAACTTTTATGTGTTCATTGATGAGACTTAAATAAAAACATACTGCTACAGATTACTCTTAAATTGAGTAATTAAATGTAAAATGGCCATACCTTGACATGTTGCGCAAATACCCCTTCTTCTTTGATCTTCGCCGCGCACTTCAAGGCCCTTGCAAATGAATCCATGGCACCTAAAATGTAAGAACAGATCATCATTGAATAAAGGTGAATACCGAAAACACTTACGAATACAATTTCAGTACTTTCTAACTGGCCTACCAAAGCCTATAGGGTCGGACTTGTTAAAGAATCTTCATTTGGAATTTCATGCAAATCTATTTAACAGAACAGTAAATTTACATTTCGACCTAAGGTATATATACCTATGTGTGAAATAAACATGTCCTTGAGATTGGTTGACTCTCTGCGCACTTTACAGTCAAAGTTAAGACCACCGGGTGCTAATCCACCTTGTTCTAAAATCACCTGAAATAAACACAGAACAATAACAATGTGTTATCTTGATGTACAAAAAAAGTAAATAACTTGTTTGGTAACCCTTACCCTGCTGGAACAAGGAGTGATCAGCCTTTGCCACCAGTATAGAGCCAGGCCAGCCTGTACATCCACGCAGTCTGACCAGGCTCTATACCGTTGGCAGCTTAACTTTTGTATTTTGATATTGATATCCCTTGGACTTTGAATGAACTGTTTCAAATTCAAAGCTGTACAGATAAATTATAGATATATAGCAGGTTACGGGTTAATATGGTTCTAAAAGGTAACTATTTACTCTTGGTGGTCTAGAGTCTGATTAACATTTTGTTGTAGCAATAACCCGGATACATCTTAATGAAATCATTTGTGATGAGATAATAAAAGCTTACAGTATACACCAGATGATGTATTTTTATTTTAAGGTCACATAAATCAGCTTTAAATAGAATTCTTGTTAATAATTATCATGAGAAAAGAACAATTTTTTTTCTACACCGGATAAATTTTGTTTTACGAAACGAAAACCACGAATACGGTAAGTTTACACAGTGTTAGGCTTTTTTTTCAATTTGATAATAATATACTTACTCTCATAACCTGTGTACTGTTTTTGATATCCATGGGGAACTGGTCAGTGTCCCATCCAAGATCAGGTGAACCAGTGTTCGAGTCAACTGAGCCCAACATGCCAAATCTATGCCCAAAAAACAAGATTATAATATTGCATATATTTCCACATCAATAACTATGATTTATGAGAACCAAGTGATGGTCCTGATGTTTGTCATTATTAAGCTGATGGTTGTAATATTCATATTTCTTAAAATGAGTAAAACTATTTTTTTTTCAATACATGATCTGGTAAGATCCAGTTCACAGCAACAAAATTAATCATACATGATTTGAATGAATCCGGTTTTATACATGATTTACTTACGGAAAATGTGCAATAAGTTTTACGATTACTTGTTACATTGAAAATAAATAAATATTCTTACGCAGATGCCATGGCAACATCGTGCTCATATCCGTGACCAGCAAGTGTAGTGTGATTAGGCTCAATGTTAAGCTGGAAATAAAACCAAAACACACGCGCTTTAATCATATATAAAAAACAATAGAAGGGCAAAAAAGTGATGATATTTCAATAAGTGAACAAAGAAAGTTGTCGCAAGAAACATCTTACCTTGAACTCCTTGTCAAGTCCATATGTTTTCAAGAAAGCAATAACTGTCATAGCATCTGAAAATATGTCAATTATGTGTGAAGTTCTAGCAAAAACAAACGTTGTAATACACTAAACTACAATTACAATATGTTCGCACCATGTCCGGAAGCGGTTGTCTATCTAAATCCTTATGATATTGTACAGCATAACGTATCATTCCAAAGAAGGCTTATCATTTAAAAGGAGGCCTTCCAAGGGATGACTTTTTTCCATATATTTTACATATGTGCACAGTTTGTCGCCATTAATACGTATTTGTATATGACATGTGACAAATGTGAATTTTCTTACATAAAAATTTATTTTAGAAAAATTAAGGAATATATTGCATGTTAAAAACGAATGGTATTTTGACAGATCTGCTCCGATATGAACGTAATATTACCATAATCATACTGGTGTTTTGATGGCTCCTTTGGTTTTGGTTCAATAAGCAATGTGCCAGTAAATCCTATCTTCTTCTTGTACTCTGAAATTAACAACGTACATTTAAATGCATTTGAATGTCATGTAATGAATTGCTTTTAACAGTTAAACTTTGATACTGCAAAGATCAGCTTGAGGATGCGGCGTTATCGGAACACATCCGATGACAACACCCATGAACACAGGACCATGGGTGGGACATGGTATCACCGATTGTATATGAATGAATCCTTAGGAAGTTAAAAATCCTGTAAATCCATTTTTAATGATTTAATATAAAAATATGATGCTCAATTGAAGATATAGCAATATTGTAAGTTCCAAAAAGCATTATTTGTAAAGAATCTACGTTAAAGAATTTACATTTCATGTAAATAAAGGGAGCTAATTAGAAATTTATTTCCGATTAAGTTTAAATCAAATTTTTTTCAATAAGAAATGAATACATACATGTATATTTTAATGTTACTTATAATGCTTATAATGCGCATAAACATTTGCAGTACATATCTAAGATATTTTTGGATGTTTGGAAATTGTTTAAGAATAATAATTATATATATATATATATATATATATATATATATATATATATATATATATATATATATATATATATATATATATATATATATATATATATAATTTCACGTATGTGTTGGACAACATACAGGATCTTCAAGTGTTGTTTAAACTCGAGACATTTAACATAAAAGTGAGCTTTACCTGAAGCCATTCTAAAGAAGTTTGCCAGATGATTTTGCTCCTGTAATATGTCTGTATTCAATAAAGTATGATAGCCTTCACGTCCACCCCAAAATACTGAAAATCACAGAAAATGATGAATGTTATTATATTATATTGTATGGTAACGTTAGCTTATAATCAACATTGATTTTTTAGCTTTTAGATACATTTTAAAAAGATGTCGTTTACTTCTACGACATTGAAAACAAACTTTATTCTTCTAGAACTTTCAAATTTGTAATTATATCTAATGGCTTGTAATACCATATGTACCATATATCTGGCTAAAAACAATAATGCTCACCAAAGTTTTCAGCTCCAAGTCTCTTGGCAACTTCCAGGCATTTCTTGACCTGTGCTGCAGCATAAGCAAAGATTCGAGCATCCGGGTTACTTCCAGCTCCATTCATATATCTGTATTATAAATATGGTACTTTGTTTGGTCTTTCCTTACAGTTTTCCATTGCAAAAGAAAATGAAAAATTGTTATCCTTCTGCAAACATATATGTATGATTGAAAATCTAGCGGCTGTCATTGCAATACCATACTGTTTATTTGCAATGCCTTAAAAATGATTACCTAACAATAAACGAATACAACTACTTGAAAGAAACAAATGTGCGCGATGAAATATAAAATATCTGGTATGACACTCGCATTGACTTTATTTTACCATATTTTAAGTAGAAAGCATAACAAGTTAAAGCTTTACACCGGTACCTTGGGTGTGCAAACAGGTTAGATGTTGCCCAGAGTAACTTTACCCCTGTCTTCTTCTGTAATTCCAGGGCAAGGTCAGCGATTTCGTCGAGATTTTTATTTGTCTCTTCCAGGGTAGCGCCCTCTGGTGCAATATCTCTGTAAATAAAATGTATTGTTTTGGTTTAATTTAGATCCAAATATTTGAATTATTTTTCATAAAGCATACTACTAACTTTGGGATAAATTAAAATATACCGTCGTGCTAAACTTCAAATTAACTTACTGCAAAGATATTTGTGAAGGATTTTATGTTGATTTTTCATAATTATACAGTAATTAGTGTTTTATACATACAACTAACCTATCATGAAATGTCCAGTACTTCACACCAAGTTTTGTGAAAAACTCGAACCCGGCTCGAAGTCGCCTACGCGCATTTGCCATTGTGTTACTGCCATCGTCCCACGGTCGAATCAAAGTAGGGAAACCGAACGGATCCGCACCTGTTGACCATTAAACATAACTATTTTGTATACTATTCCATGAAGTTTAATTTGTAAAAAAAAACTGGTTATTACAAAACACACAAAAAACGTACAGGAATATTAACAGCATGTTAAAGTTTAATGTTATACGTACATAGATTATATTTAAAATAAAAGCAGGAATTTGAATATAAGTTCATTGAAATAGCTTGAGTATATCAGTTTTGCTAACCTGTTCCTCTAAAGGTGTGCCAAAAACAGACAGAAAATCTCAGCCATTCTTCCATTGTACGTCCCATAACAACCTGTTTTTATGATACACGAAAATTATCTACACTAAGAAGTGTTAATGATGATCGAAATAATGATGATACAAGTTTGTTTTCATCTTATGTCAGAAAATAATGTTTGTATAATAGTAAACTGCTTACAAGTTAATAATAAAATCGTCATAGACTTTTCAATACATTCAATCATTTTACCTGAGACGGATTGTAATGTTTATACATCATAGTTTCTGCTGGGCCAGCATCTTGTTTAAAAGGGATCTTGTCTATACCTAAATTTTAAAAGAAAAGAAGTACTAGTATACTAGTCATATGCATATTTAGGAATCAAGCGATATTGAAAGTTTCGTAAGAAACGAAAATTATACGATTAGTATGTTCCTACAAAGAGCTATAAATCTGTAAAGAAACGTCAAAATATCTGAACAGTAACAAAGTTTGATACGTTTTATTCGTGTAAATATTCCACTGAAATGCTGAAAGAGTATTGTGCAGGCTTTCATAAGGAAACGCCGTCAGCATTAATAGACAAGGGAATAAAATTGTTTCACATAACATTTGTAGATTTAAACATAATTGTCAGTAATATTTCTTGTGGAATCCGGTTATTTTAGGCATTAATTAAACTTTGTAGCTTTACAAAAAGCAACATTTGCGGAAAAGTAACTTGATTTTAAAACTGAAATGATTGTTGCGCTGCACATCATACTAATTATAGCCACAGTTTCAAATGACCAAGGAGGGTTTCTTGGACATAGTGACAATTCTTGACCTAAATGAATGGTTGTCTTTAAATGCATTCTCAGTTTTAGTGATATTTAATATGCACTCTTGAAAATTTGAAAACATGGCCATGTTTTGTAAAAAATGTTTTAGGAAATCCAATCTCTTTATGGTTGGGTGGGGGCGGGCACAAACTTTTAGCAATAGCAATACTCTAAACTCTTCAAGGCGAAGAGAGCCTGTACGGGTTTCTGTAGCCAGTTGTGGGCTTCTTCGGAATGATTCCCAGTTTTTGGAACTGCCTGACTAATGTAAATGGAAAATGCTATTATAAATTTGTTCTCAACAAAATGTGCTTTCTTTATACATGTTAATTTTGTAGTGGGTTAGAAATATCGGGCTTTTTACTTATAGGACACTGACGGCAAGAACTTGAAATTTAGCGCGGAGTGCTGCCTTTGACTTGTAACGATAGTGCTACCTTTGACGTGTAACGATAGTGCTACCTTTGACGTGTAACGATAGTAGTCCAATATACAGCTAATTAATTAGTATAGATACCATGATAACCATGTTCTTCCTGATGGCGTAAATATTTACCGTTTTAGAGTTAAAGGTAACTGTTCCGTGTGTGCCATATCTTTAAAACTATCATAACTATTTGCGTCAAATACATACACATTCAAATACATGAATTTATTTTAAGTGTCACATAATGAAACCCAAAAAATACCAAATTTGATCACTCTGGGGGCGGCTTGCCTCCTTAAAGGTACTGTGCGATATTAAAGTTTTGCCATTTAAGAA